GATTGTGATGTCATGAAGAAAGTCACAAAATGTAGTTCAGTAATGACCAGTGAGCAAGTTCTGTTTCTTTTGCATGACGTCCCTCCTCTCCCCCAGAGGTGTGTAGCTCTAGCTCGTTAACCCACTGAACACTCAAATCAGGTGAAGTTGTAATATACAGAGGTGCTCTCAGAAAAATAGAGCGCACAGTCCCCTCATTTTGTTGTGCCTCCATCTACTTATTTCATAAAATGTGTTTTCAACTCTACTCTGTGCCGGACACAGATGTACAGTAAACTTGGCTGACAAGGTCACGGAAACTTGCAGTACAGAAGTAAACAATTGGCAATTTACTTGTACAGTTCCAGAGAGTGATACAGTGCTTTGATGATGAAAAGTGCTATGAGGCTGGTTTAGGAACTACTTTAGGTCTACAGTGAACAATAGAAATATGATGTGAAGCCGGGCTCGGTGACTCAGCCTGTAATCCCGCGCCTTTGGGAGGCTGAGGTGAGTGGATTGCCTGAGCCCGTGGGTTCGAGACTCGCCTGGGCAGCAAGACCTCATCTCTACAATAAATCAAAAAATCAGCCGGGCGTGGTAGCACATGCCTGTAATTCTGGCTACTCGGAAGGCTGAGGCGGAAGGATCGCTGGAGCCCAGCAGGTCGAGGCTGCGGTGGCCGGGAGCGGCCACTGCACAGCAGTCTGGGCGACAGAGTGAGACTCCAACTCAAAAAAAAAAAAAGAATACAAATGTTTACCCGAGATCCTAATAGTGTCTGGAAATGCACATTCCCAGTAGATGGCAGCATTGTTTCATTTAACTTTAAAAAGGTTCACTGGTGAATTGGTTGCCAATAATTCTAGTGACAATTTCACTAATGAGACAGCAGGGTGTTTGTGGGTGAATGGTCCTTTTTTTCCTTCATATAGCTCTTCCCACTTGAAGAATATAGTCAAATGCTTGTATGTCACCACTGAGACCTTTTCCCTTGGACCAATAGTGATTAAAAAAAAGGAAAAAATATTTCTTCCACAGACTAGGTTATGTGACCTATTCAGAGGCTGCACACATTCTTCTTTTATAGCCAGGTTTCAAGTGAGGGACTCTACCTTCAAATTCTTCTTTCCACATGTTCTCACTTAAAGCGGACCTTGAACAATTATAATACCATAAGAAAGGAATTGGCAGTAGTCGGAAACTGCCAGGGAAGGAGGGAGGCGGGATTGGCACTAGTCGGAAACTGCCAGGGGAGGCAGGGGACAGGATTGGCAGTAACGGAACACCGCCAGGGGAGAGGGGACCACACCTCATCAACAAGGATACCTGTATAACGAACATTTATATACCTAACCCTGAATTGTACCCCACATCTTCAAAATAAAAAAAAAATTTTTTAAATTCTCTCCTTTGACCTATATTCATTGCAATCTGGTCAAACTCCCTTGGCTCTTAGGGCTGAGTTGCTTTGTGTTGGTTTTAAAAGGTGGCTCTTCAGGATTTTAGCCTAACAGAAACTGATCTTTAATCAATGTTCTGTAATGCCTTATAGAGGAAGTATGCAAATACACCCCCCCATCAATCCCAGGGCAAACAACTAAAGGGAGGAGTCCATGCTGCATTAACTTATAAAGCATAGTGTTTTCAACTGACCCCTGATAGATTTTCCATATGGTCCCAAAGAGCTGCGTCTAGAAATGCAGAGGGTGAGAGATGGCTGAATATCAGGTCTGAAAAAATATCAGCGTTTTTCGCCAAGCAACTTTGATGATCTCTGTTTGCGTGTTGTCACAGCTGTGTTGTTGGCTACGTCGGGGAGCGATGTCAGCACCGAGACCTGAAGTGGTGGGAACTGCGCCATGCTGGCCACGGGCGGCAGCGCGACGTCACCGTGGTGGCTGTCTGTGTGGTGGTGCTTGTCCTGCTGCTTCTTCTGGGGCTGTGGGGAGCTCACTACTACAGGTGACCCTTTCTTTTCTTTGGCGCTTTAAAACTTTCTTTCTTTCTTTCTCTCTTTCTCTCTCTCTTTCTTTCTTTCTTTTCTTTTTCTTTCTTCCTTCCTTCCTTTCTTCTTTCTTCCTTCCCTTCCCTTCCCTTCCCTTTCCTCTTTTCTTCCTTCTTTCTTCTGTTTATTCATTTGTTCATCCGCTCATTCTTTCATAGAGACAAGATCTTGCTGTATTGCCCAGACTGGCTTTGAACTTCTGGGCTTGAGCAATCTCTGCCTTGGCCTCCCAAAGTGCTTGGATTACAGGTGTGAGCCACCACGCCTGGCATTAAACCTCTTTTTAAGCTTTCCCACAGGAACACAAATCTCTTTGAGATGAACTCTTACATGGTACATTTAAAAAGTGGAATAAGAGTTTTTAAAAAAAAACACAAAAAGGCTCAGAATTTCACTGCCTTAAAACATCAGTGCTTCTTCCCTTTCCTTGTTCGATTCCAGTCTTTGTGTATGCACTTGCAAAGTATATGTGGTTATTATTTAACATGATGCAGTTTTTGCGTGTCACGTCCTTTTAGCATCATGTGCATTTCCTCTGACAGCCTGCATAACTGTAATTTTTCATGGTCATCTTTCATTGAGTTGATTTTCCTCAAAATATTGACTATTTTTAAAAAAATCAGTGTCTTCCCCAAAGTGGAAGGAGGATTTTGGTTTTGGGATTTTGTGTTTTCAATAATTTCAAATTGACAGTTGAAAACTGTGGAACAATAACATTTATACATTTAAATTTAAAAAATAACACTACAGTGTTCATTTTCTGTTTTCTTAAAAAGTAAGACAGCATCTTACATGATCAAAGATTTTTTTTAAAGATACTGTGTACTATTATGGTTTGTACTGTAAAAAGTCAGTGAGTCATAAAACTTTAGAGCTGAAGAGGATTTTATGGAATTCTCTAGTTCAATCTTATTTCATTGCTGGAGAACCTAACACCCACTTAACTAATAGGTCCCAATTCTCTGAGAAAGAGAGTACAGAATACTTGCCACCATCTGAAGATAAAAATGTAACCACATTTACCGGTACTACATAACCACTCAAGTGGTAACTGTCTTGTATTCTGGAAAATTCAACATATCAGCCAAGATGCACTTGTCCAAGATCCTACTATATCCTAGTGTAGTAGTTAAGTGCATGAGCGCTGGAGTCAGATTGCACAGGTTCAAACCCCAGTTCACATCTAAATAATATCAGGTTTGTGTCCTAACCTCTGTATTCATTAATTTCCTTTGCTGTAAAACAGGGATAAAAAGAGTACTTATCTCAAGGGCTATTGTGATATTAATTGAGTTTATCTAAGTAAAAAGATTAGTGTAATCTGGCATATAGGATTTAATAAATGCTACCTGCTTTTATTATTACTTTTGAGTCAGGGTCTCTGTGGCTGAGACTGGAGTGCAGCAGCATGATCATGACGATCACAGTTCATGGCAGGCTTGACCTCCTGGGCTCAGGCTATCCTTCCAACTCAGCATTCTAAGCAACTACAGGCATGAGCCACCAAGACTGGCTAGTGTGTGTGTGTGTGTGTGTGTGTGTGTGTGTGTGTGTGTGTGTGTGTGTGTGTGTTGCCCAGGCTGATCTTGAACTCCTGGTTTCAAGCAATCTACCTTCCTTGGCCTTCCAAAGTGCTGGAATTACAGGCATGAGCCACTGCACCCGGCCTATTGTTATTATGATTTTCCATGAACTCTTCCCCAAAAGAGTTAAATGCTCTAAGCTTCCTTTTTCTGCTACCTCTTGAGAGACAGGGTTCTGAGGCGCAAGTTTGAAATTTTAATTCAGTGATCCATGAGTAACACTGCTCTTATTAGCTTGGCCTTTAATCAGTATCTTAGATATTTGTAGAAAAAATATGAAATGATCAATGGTTCATCACATTAGACAGAATGTCAGAAGAAAAGCAGATGCTTGGCAAATAGTGTAGAAAAAAATGAAAAACAAAAAGAAAAAGAAAAAATTGAATGTATACCACAATTATTAACTATTTTTAAAAATTTGTTGTATTTCAACATAGTAAGTATGTCTTACATTCTACTGACCTTTTTTTCAGAGATCTGGTTCAAAAGCCAATGGGAAACTGCTGGCTTTTTAGACTTGAAATTCAAAGACCAGCTCAGCTGAAAGTTGACTGTATACTTCACATACAATTAAGAACATCTTCAGCCTCTAATTCTCACATGTCTAAAATTAAAAGTGATGAAGACTGTTTCTTCACAAAGAAAACTCATGAGAACCCTTTCTTTCTTCTTTTTGCTGAAATGCATCCCGAGCTGTAAACTTCTTCCTGAGTGAACCTATGGTTGTTTCCCTAACAGTTTTCTGATCAGTGTAACTGCTTACCCAGTGGCAAATTTTTAGCTATATACTTGACTACATTTGTATTACTGAGCGATTCTGTCAAGATCAAATTAAAATTACTACTCTAAATATTGCCATCTCACTAAAGTATACCAACAGATATAGCTCTATTATTGGTTTTTTAAGTTAGATGTGTTGGGCAACCCCCTCAGTTTCCTTCCCTCATTGAGAGTTTTTCTGTCCTCTCAATAAATCCTGCTTCCCACCCCCAAAATAATAATAAATTAGATGCGTTAAGTGTTTTTCTTTGAAGAGTTAAAATCAGTTATTTCCTTCCTTTACACTCTTCCTTGCCTGTCTAGATTGAGTGATTTGCACCATTTGTCTTCTGTCTCTCAAAATAGTAATGTCTGTGAAAATAAATAAATTTTGCAAGTATTCAACTATTATAACTTCATAAAACCTAATTTCTTGAAAGGACCCTCTTGTAGGAGAATCAACCAGAAGAATTCCATCACAAAGTATAACTTTGGAACTTTGGAATTGTTTATGTTAGCCATTGCTTCAATCTTTTCCATAAAGCTTTGATTAAAACCCATAACAACCAACGCCATCTTCTGGTACCTTCTGTGATCCAGATTCCGAGCAACTCCCTCCCCCTTCCTTATTGCTTTTGCTAGGATGTCCAGGTTGGGCTTCTGACAGAGGGTTGCACTCCTTGAGTAAACCTATCTGCCTCACAACAGCAGTGCCATCTTAGAATCTTGAGGCTGGTTGGTGGTTTTCACATCCACGTTGCCTTTGGAGCCTTCCTTCAGTGACTGCTTGTGTCATGCATTATGTACCTGTCTCTCTCCCTCTAGAGGCTACTGCTGTGAGGACAGGAATCCCACTTTTATGCTCAAAAGCTGGATTTGGAAGCAAGAGACCTATTCTGTTTCCCGGCTTAGCCACTCTGAGGCAGTATTATCTTGGGTCTTCTACTCCTTCTATTTTTGCCTCTAATTTCCTTAATGAGTGGCAAATTGCAGTGGATCCTAGGTTTTGTGTCATTAGGATCCAGTTCCTGCACTGCCCTTGGTAGCTGTGTGCCTTGGGTGAATCCCTGCCATCTCTGAGCCCCACTGGCTACACTGCAAATGGAGCTAATGCAGTCTGCCTCACATAGTTGCTGAGATATTCTTTCCACTGACTGCCCCACCCCTCCTTCCATAATGTGTAAGTTCATTAAAGTATCAGCATTGTAGTTGTTTTCCCAATGCTATATCCTCAGTACCATGATAGTGCCTGGGATATAATTAGTACTCGATACCTGTGAATGAATGAATGCAATGTTGTTCCCCCAACACATACACGCACACACATACCTCTACCTCAAAGAACCTTGGAAAGGGGTGAAATATCATCTGGAAAGTATTTTAAGTCCTGCAAAAAAGAATACCTTAAACATCTAAAGCTATACTCCTAGTTATCTTCACGTTTCTTCTCTCCCACATATTTTAAGAACCTAAATTTCAGTAGCAAGAAATAGTTGTCCCTGACTATCAAGGAGTGGGCTGAGTATTTTGCTTTGCAATTTTTGAAATTGTCTCCGATTTTGGTTTTATCACAGGACTCAGAAGCTGCTATCAGAAAATCCAAAGAATCCTTATGAAGAGTCGACCAGAGATGTGAGCAGTAGCAGGCCTGCCGACAGTGAGGCCGGGCTGTCTTCTCGCTCCGAACCTTGGGTAATGTGACCAAAGCAGATGAAGCAAGGGATTGGCTTGATATTAACCCCAGTCCTTGTCTTCCCCATTCTTCACCGAGTTCCAAATAACTGGAATCTGTTATAGCTTCCAGCTGGTGTCAGTGTTAGCCAAAACTACATCAGTTAGGCAGGTCCTAGATGGGAAGACAGGGAACTGTGTCTTTAAGGCTATCAGATAAGTTTGAAATAGTGTCATAATGTAATGGGACAAGAAATTCTTGGAATTTTTTTTCTGTCATGCAGATTCTTTCTATAACTTAGATTTTTATGTCTTATGGGAAGAATCTTTCCAAATTTTTAGTTAATACCTTTCGGATGAGTGTCTTAACCCAAGATTAGGCTCCCCATTTTCTTTTTTTTTTGTTTTGAGTTGGAGTCTCACTCTGTCACCCAGACTGGAGTGCAGTGGCCACTCCCAGCCACCGCAGCCTCGCCTGCTGGGCTCCGGCGATCCTTCCGCCTCAGCCTTCCAAGTAGCCGGAATTACAGGCATGCGCTACCACGCCCAGCTGATTTTTTTATTTATTGTAGAGATGAGGTCTCGCTGCCCAGGCGAGTCTCGAACCCGTGGGCTCAGGCAATCCACTCACCTCAGCCTCCCAAAGGCGTGGGATTACAGGCTGAGCCACCGAGCCCGGCTGCCCATTTTCTTAATATTTCTTTTTATAGTTTAAGATCTCTAAACTTCAGTAGCAAAATAGTTGCCAGATTTAGCAAATGAAAATACAAGACAATAAGTTAAATTTGTACTTATACATAAAGATAGAGTTTAAATTCAAATTTAACTGGAATCCTGCATATCATCTGACAACTCTAGATATTTTCCAAAAATGACAGTGAATTGAGATCACCCCTTCAGTCATTGATCTTGGAGCACTAGAAGGAAGACTTGGAACAAGCTAAACTCACTTGATTCTGTAAAGGGAATTTCCATTTCCAGAAACCTGTCAGAGCTCATTTGACAGATTCAGCATGTGCTGTTGGCAATAGTCATGGTATATATTGCGGGAGAGGCTAGGATATATGGTAGCTCCCTGGAAGATTGAAACCTTAGGAAAGGACTATTAGGGAGCAGTAATGAAGGGGCAAAGGCAATGCTTAGGACCCTTCCCATGTCATTTCCCCTAGCGCCCAGTCCTTACCTCACTGTATTCCCAGAGAATAGCTTTCCCATAGCTGTGCTTCTAACTAACAGGTGGCCCTCTGTCCTTACCTGTGATAGGCACTCAGTGTTTCCTTGGGGTTTTTTGTTTTGGTTTTCTGTCTGAACTTGAGTATGGAGATAAAATAAGACATATGAGCTCTAATTTGCCTTCTCAGTCATTGGCTATCTAATCTTCAGCAACTCCTTTAATGTCTGCAGACCTCTGCTTCTTCTTCAACACAACAAAGAGTTTGGATTAGATAATGTCCAAGATCCCTCCTGTCTCGATCAGTTCCACAAGCGTGTGATTCTAGGGCGACTTAGCTCTACGATGTGCTCAGTTCTTTGAGGCCTCATGACTTTGTGGACTTCTAAATTACCCCAGTTGCACTTGGTCTACATGGCATTTCATTCAGGTTTTGAGTAGCAGGTTTAATTTATCTCATTTAAATCATGGGAAGAAGGAAACAATCTGTATGTGCCTTTTTTTCTCTCTTTCTCTAATCAAAAGCGTTTGCTGGTGTCATGAGCAGCTTGCTGACTCAGAGCTGTTAGGAGGCCTGGGGCTGCTGTGCTAAGTGCCTCCAGCTGTCATAACTGTCATTGGCACCAACTGTTGCTGCAGCTATGGTGGAAGTAGGAAAGAACTGAGGTCCAAACTAGGGGAAGCAGCAGCAGAAACAGGTCTGGTTCCATCAGCTGCCTTCGCCGTCAGTCCAGAATCCCAGGACCTGTGTTCTTCTGGCAGAGAGACACATGGCTGGAAAATCTACAGTACAGAGGGCTGGATTTTGACTTGAGCCAAAAATAATGGGCATGCATCCTTAAACAGCAGGTCCCGCATTGATTTTGAAGAGTGTTGCTGCAGGAGACCATTAATGAGGAAGACATGAAGGGGGATTAGTGTTGTGGAAAATAAGAAAACGAAAACACTTGTTCCCGGCATTCACTCTTTTTTTTACCAACATTTCTCTCTCTTTTTCCTAATTGACTCCACTGATTGACTCCACTGATCATCCCTCTCTACACTTTTCTCAAAGAAAAACATGGGCAAGGGGATTCCCCCCCCACTCCCCTTTCATCCTGTTGTTTCTGAATTGTGGCCTTCTCCCTGTGAAAGGCCCATTCCTGAGCTACCAAAATATGGTCAGCCAAAACCTCGGCAGATCTTTGGCTGGGTTACTGATTGACAGGGAAGGATTTCACCAAACCGTGTCCTTTGTCCTGGAGGATGGGGTTCCTTCTTTTCTTTCCTTTTATCACTGATCTAGTTTAACACCTCATCTATCCAGTGTGAATGTGAGCCAGTGAACTCTGGTCACTCTGTATTGCAAGGGCACAATCAATTTTGGACAATACAGATAATGGCAAAAGTAATCATTTTGTTGACTGAAGAGAAATATTGTTTTCTGGGCCTCTCTTTTAAAATTCTGGTTCCCAAACTGTTGAACCATGAGAAAACGTTTGGTGGATTCCTGCAAAATAGTTGTACTATTAGTTATTAGTACCTATTAATGAACCAAATTACTCAAAACATGGTAATTTGTGTTTTTTTGTTGCTGTTGGAGCCATTGTGAGAAGCAATTAGTAGCATGTTTAAATAAATATTATTAAATTATATAAAAATTAATTTATATATACACACACACACACAAAATACAAGGGAGGATCCCCCCAAAAGGAATTATTTTTTGGAAGGCAGTCCCCTTGTATTACAGGCTTTCCCTGCTAGGTGAGTGTTCTAGGAACCCACTGGCATCAGTGTACCAGCTAGCATTGTTTTCAAGAGCCTACATTCAACTTCAGTGAAATTTTTTTTTTTGAGATTCACGATGGGTGACTTATGAGTGAATCTGCCCACACCGGAGTGAGCAGTCAGCAATTTTGGACCAAAAATGGCATGACTCCTGTTCCCCACCCTTCCTATTCACCTAATCTCGCTCCAAGTGACTTTTTGTTGTTGTTGTTTCCCTGGATGGAAAGAAACCCTCAAAGGAAAACACATAAGCACTAAAAAGCATCAAAATGGACAAATTCAAATACTGATTTGAGCAATAGAAAAATTATCTCAATAGGTGTATTGCATCAAACAGAGAGTACTTTTAGGATGACTGAAGTTTAAACATGTAAGAATAAATACCCAATTTTTAATAAATAAATTCCTGGTCTTTGGGGTGCCCCCTCACATATGAAGCATCATAGCACATACATATGGAAAGATTCCTGGATTGCTTATAGTAAAACAGTGGCCCTCAGGGATCCACAACTCAAAAGTTGAGATTCCAGAATTAGAATAAATTTTTTAGTAAAGACACTGGTTGTGCCTGGTTGCTTTGAGAGAAAGTAACATAAGGTTCCTAACTGAAAATATAATCTTTCATTAGTTAGAGAGAGAAATTTGACAGGACCTTTCTTCTAACTTTTACCTTCCATAGGATGAACATGATAAAGTCATATACTTTAACTTAATGTGCATTGAGATATTTGTGAATTATAACAATGTCCTCTCTCCCTTTTGTTGTTTGCAGTTTGTGGTTATAAAGGAACACCAAGACCTCCAGAATGGAAGTCAGCCTGTGGCTGGCAAGGCTGGCCAGACAGCAGATATTGGTCAGTTTTATTTTTCCCCCTGGAACGTGGTGAATGGTTATTTTTACTTGGATCCTGAATGTTTTTATAATGAAAAGTTTCGTCTAACCACAAAACAATAATTAAATTGTATGAGCTTGGGCTATGTTGAAATGCTGTGGAGCTTTAGAGAAATCTATTCGGACTGGATTTCTACCTTATATGAGGTTATCATGTTCACTTAAAACTCTCATCACAAAACTAAAACAAAGAAGAAAATTAAAGAAATAAAAATTTAAAAACTCTCATCACATACCAGTCTTCTAGATCACCTTGAGCAAGTGTACAATGAGTAATGCCTTATTTTGAATTAGGTTGGGGTTTGAGGTCATTTTTAGGGTTTGGGATCTATATTGCTAGCTGTAGGTATAGTTCCAGTTAAGCTGTAAATGGCTCCAAGAAAACATGATCCATGTTCTAGTGGGAAGGGTTTCTGTAAACTTAAACTGACTTAGGGGTTGTCTTGGGGATTTCAGAGTATTCAGGTCTTATCAGAGGCAAGACCTCAACCAGACATGCAGCGGTCTGTGAAGCCCAGCCAAATCACTTGGGGAGGAACCATAAAATCAACCCAGATTCACAGAAACTCAATCTACTTTGGGTAGAAATGGAATCAGATATCCTTTGACATAATATGTTGGTCAAGAGTTGCATTATGATAGACCTTTAGGGCTTAGGTCTCAGATATCATAGTTCTATTACAACCCAGAGGACATTATTGAACATGCTTTTATGACATAGGCCTTTGGAACGGTATAGAGAAACTTTTAGCCAACAAAAACTAGTTTCTCTGCTAATTAAAGGAGCCCAGAAAATATCAATTTCACTCATATTTTCTATTTTTTCCCTCATCAATATGCTTATCGCCACACCCTCCTCTCAGATTTATTTCTAGAGAGAACATAGGCTTCTTGTTTTGGAAAACTCACTCTAAATTCCCTTCCCATATGTATTTTGTCATTTTATCCAAAAATACTGTATTCAGTAGAGTGTTATTGCCTAATCTGAAAGAGGCATGGCTAGTAAGGTACAATTAAAAAATCAGTATACTTGGCGAGACCTCATCTCTACAATAAATCAAAATGAGCCGGGCATGGTAGCGTGAGTCTGTAGTTCCAGCTACTTGGAAGGCTGAGGTGGAAGGATCGCCGGAGCCAGCAGGTAGAGGCTGCGGTGGCCAGGAGTGGCCACTGCACTCCAGTCTGGGTGACAGAGTAAGACTCCAACTCAAAATAAATAAGTTAATTAATTAAATAAAATAAAAAATCAGTATAAAAACTATAACAAGTTATATAGTTTTTATATGTATGATTACTATTGCCTGGATAATGAAAAAAACCAGCATTTTCCCAGGTCGCTTGGCTTTTTAAAAATTGTTGTTGGTAGCACTATTTGGCCAAGTTTGCCTCTGTGATCTAGCAGACTGCTATGTGACAAGAGTTTTTTTATTTTTAAAATTTTTTAATTTATTTCAGTTTCATGACAAGAGTTTTGAGTGAACATGGTAACCTCATATAAGATAGAAATCCAGTCCTAATAGATTTCTCTAAAGCTCCACAGCATTTCTTTTTTTTTTTTTTAATTTTTAATTTTAAAGATGTGGGGTACAATTCAGGGTTAGGTATACAAATGTCCATTATGCAGGCACCCTTGTGTTGAGGTATGCCCCCTTCCCCTGGCAATTTCCCACTACTGCCAATCCTTTTCTTATAGTATTATGATAATTGCTCAAGGTCCGCTTTTGAGTGAGAACATGTGGTACTCAGTTTTCTGTTTCTGTAATAGATCACTGAGTATGATAGACTCAATCCATCCAAGTTGCTGTGAAGTCCATATGTTTGTCCTTCTTTATGGCTGCATAATATTCCATTGTGTGTATGTACCACATTTTTTATCCAGTCTAGTTTTGATGGGCAGCATGACTGGTTCTATGTTTTTGCTATTGTGAACAGAGTTGCAATAAACATGAATAAACACGCATGTGCAGATATCTTTTTTGTAGAATGATTTGAGTTCCTCTGGTATATTCCCAGTAGGGGGACTGCTGGGTCACATGGATGGTCAATTTCCAGTTCTTTCAAAAATTGCTACACTGTCTTCACATAGCCAAGCTGCTCATATGAAATAATGAAATATCTTGTAGTTCGTAATACTATTAGAAAAAGATTGGTAGTGGCAGGAAACTATGGGGGGGGGCAGGGAGGGGCAGGGAGTTGGGATTAACAGTAGTCAATATCTGTCTGGAAGAAGGGGGGGCACGCCTCATCAGTAAGGGTATCTGCACAATGAATGTTTGTATACCTAACCCTTAACTATGCCCCACAATTTTAAAATAAAAAAAATATAACTTTAAAAAAAGAGAAATATCTTATAGAAACATACGGCTTTTTCTTGAACAGCTAAAAGCACATAGTTCTTTCTTATAAGGGTAAACTACTTTAGAGGTATACACTATATAATTTTGCAAGTTAATCAATAGTACAATGATTTGACAAAAAAATAGTTAAACTCAGAAAGAACAAAGGATTTATTAGCGTTAGCTGAATACTCCAGAATAGACTAGAATGTTCCTTATTTTTTATTTTTGCACACTCTACTCACCCATTCTCCGTGGGCCACTTTGTGTAACTGTCTCCCAGTATGAGTGATCACATCCCTGATCATGCCTAGCTGTCTCATAAATGCCTGGGGTCAACATGCACATAGAGATTGGATGGGGAGATAGAGTGGGGAATGGGAGAAAAGACCAAGTTTGGCACTGAGACAATCCTTTCTCTGCTCCTGGAAAACCCATCAAAACACAGTCCTGGTGAAAGATCCACAGAGCCACATTCATTGTCCTCAGCCAACATCAGTTAGTGCAAGGTAAGTGCAGAGTACCATGCTAGGCCAAGGGAACCAGGCCGGGAGAAAGGAATGCAAGCATGTTTAAAACCTGAGCTCTATTCACAAGTCATCTATGGTCCAGTCGAGGAGCTGGGCAGTACAGAGGGAAAGCTGAAGAACAATGTCAGATAGCACGGTTCTTGGATCCATCTCAATCAACCCAGACTGTTTTAATTTTTTAAAATTGGGTCTAGAATGGTCCGAGAATAGGCTTTTTTTGTGTTTCCTATTTCAGGTCAATTCTTCAATCTGTACCATGATGGTTTCTCTTGTCGAGCATTGCAAATGATACAAATACTGAAATTTCTTTTTTCTTTTATATAGGATCAGTGCAACTGAGGAAGGAGCCCCAGGTATTTGGAATGGGCCCAGAGCAAGGCTGCTAGATTCCACCATCCAGTGATAAATGCTCCTGTCCCCCACGGAGCGAAGCTTTCACATACACTCCTATGGGGCACAGCCTGTTGCTGGGGAAATTGAGAAGCCTTATTCTCTCCCATCAACTAACCCATTATGACCCCAGAGGGCTCTAGGTCCATCACACCAAGTGGAGCTGACTCAGTGAAAATTGGAATTAAAAAGAAGATTAAGAAGAACAAATCATATCAATGGACTGTATATTTCCTTTCAAAAAGTAGAAGAAAACTATAGACTTGGGTTCCACAATCTCTACGACTAATCACCTACTCAGTGTCCTGGAGACTGATACATAGTTGTGCTTCCGTTTCTTCCTTCAAGCAGTCCCATTGCAGATTTTCAAATAAGAGTAATGGAGGATCACTAGGTAACTTATTAGAAGCCAAAATTGGAACACTTATGCATTATAAACTGTGTTGTCTTCAATAGTCAATACAGATAAATTTTTGTTGTTATTCTTACAACCCCAGAAGAAATCTGGGGTTAAAGCAGGCAATCACACTGTTTTGGTCTGTTCCAAAGTAATTTCTTTGATCCGAACAGAACATTTAGCTCAATCTCATGAAATGGCTGGAATATGACAATTACCGCTAAGATACATCATAGGCATTTAGTTAAATGAGAGCATCACTGCTATGGTCCATGCTGGTTATTTTGCAACATGAATTGTGATAAATTGATGAAAAGAGTTAATTTAGAATCTAATTTCTTCAGAATTAGATGACTTTCTAAAAAATCTTTGAATGAAAGCACTTAATTTTAAAAACATTACCTAAGAGACTTCAGTGTTTCTTAGTCATCCTTGTCCTTTCTTCCACAGAATTTTTTTCTAATGAAAATGATAAATTCCCCCTTTGTGTGTTTGCACAGAATCATTGTATTTTTTCAAATATGAGATTGTAAGCAAATTGCCTGATTTGTTTTCATTATGGATAGCAATCAATTTCTTCTAATTCGTTAAATAAAATCACTATAAAGCAAAAACATTTTATTGTATACCTGGTTAAGTAGTTAATTATAATCTGAGGGACTATTTGAGTTGATCTAAAGTAATTTGCTAAGCTTGTTACTGTAACCTTCTTTTAAAAAATATTTGAAATCTACAATTCTAACTTTATAAATTAAAATTTCATATGGTGACGGTACAGTGACTCACACCTGTAACTTCAGGACTTTGGGAGGCAAAGGCAGGAGAATTGCTTGAGTCCAGGAGTTCGGGACCAGCCTGGGCAACATAGATACCCTCTCTCTCTCTATAAATAAATAAATAAATACGTAAACAAACAAACCAACTTTACATGGTGTTCTAATCAAATATTTTTCTTGCAATATAGATACCCCGTCTCTAAATAAATAAATATATAACTTCATATGGTGTTCTAATCAAATATTTTTCTTCAACCAAGGCATTGATACTCTAGATAACACATCCTGATACAGTAACATTGACTTGTTTGAGGGCTATGGATCATCTCATTTATGTATTAACTAGTCCCTTTGCTAATCTTTATCTTTCATTTCTCCTCAACTCCTTGGGCTTTAGTGATACCAAAGGTCAGAATAAAAAAGAATTGACGTTCATGTCTTCAAGTGGATACCTTATAGAAATTTGGATAAGGATTTGGTGAGGGAAAGGATAACTTGAGGTTTGTGGATATTAATTAGTTATTCAGTATGACACCTTGCCTCAGCTAATTTAGATTATTGTTTATTCTGTTTTGCTTTAATTGGCAATTTATATCCTGGAGGATCCAAAGACTTATCTTTTATTTCTAATCAGTGAACCAACCTTAGAAAAATAACAGCCATGGTTTTCCAAAATTTTACTTTCCATAAGCCTGAATATTTTTTTCTTCTTCCAAAAGTGAGCATGTTTGAAACATTAAGGGTTTAGATTTTTTCTTTTTCTTTTAGTATCTCTTTCTTTTTTGAATTTCAATGATAGCCAAAGAAGTAACATGATACCATAATAACCCATGACGTACCATTACCTTTGAACCACAAAATCCTTGATTCCTTTTTAATGACTCTGATACCTTAGAGACTGGCACCATGCTAAGTCCCCAACTGAGCTCTCCCACCAGGTCCTTGGTCAGACTAAACACACACACACACACACACACACACACACACACACACACACACACACACTCTGTGTTTTTTTGATCAATATGCCACACTGAAAAGGTGCCCTCCTTTCTTGCAGTTTCACATCTCCACCACAAATGTCCTCCTTTCTTTAAAAATCCAGCATCTAAAATGCTTTATATGTATTTTTTCCCCAGACAAACAAAAAGCCTGGAAGAAACAGAAAATATCTAGTCAGTCTAAGTAGCTGTAACAGGCAAGATTTTATGTTCTTGCTTTGCCTCTTTTACTTTTTCTTCTTCTTGAACTTCTGAAATGAGAAACTCCTCTCCGCATTGTTTCATTCTGAGCTCTTTAGTTTCTAGCCTGCCTGAAGCAAGGCGCTTTCCTGTCTGGGACTTGGCAGGTTTTTAGAGCTAAGGTCATACGCTGGTAACAAGGAAAAAACCAGGCTTAACACCCCTGGTGGCTTTGTACTGTGTGAACCAGATAAACTGGAACTGTTTCCCAGAATTTCATCCCTTCATGTTTCTGTGATCTGGCTGGTCATCGTGGTTAGATGCATTGAAAGATGGTGCACAGGGGCCAGCTAATCCTTACTTGCTTCTAGACTACAGATTGTCTTCACTGTCCCTTACTTCATGTTTTCTGAATCTCTTTTTCCTGACTGTGGGCCGACTCACACCAGTGATTCCCCAGACCACCACCAGATACAAATGCAATGACCTTCCATAGACTTCCACACCAGCTCTGCTTGCTGTGCCTACTTGGGCAGCTGGGAACACCTGGCTTCACATGTTTCCCTGCCAACTCCAACCTGTCCACACAGCCCATTTGCATCAGAAATACCAATCAGTGACTTTGCTCTGACCATCCAGATCCCCTTTCTGGATATTACATACCCAGCTCCCCTTGCAATTATGTAAGATTTAAATAATTTTATTACGTCTTTCTCAATGATTTGCTTCCTTAATTTAGCCCTGATGGATGATACCACAGGCAAATTCAACCAAATATTCAAGGTACACAAAATTCTCTTTTATTATATAAATTCTCCCATGGAATAGAAAAAGGAAAATACTCCTCACCTCATTTTACAGGGTTACTATAACCCTTATTTCTGCAGTAGACAAATATAGCAAAAGAAAATGGGCCAGGTGCAGTGGCTCACTCTTGTAATCCCAGCATTTCAGGAGACTGAGGTGAGAGGATTACCTGAACCCAGGAGTTCAAGACTAGCCTGGGCAACATGATGTGACCTCATCTCTACAATAAATAACATTTTAAAAATTTAGCTGGGCATGATGGTGTGCACTTGTAGTCACAGCTACTTGGAAGGCTGAAGCAGAAGGCTCACTTCATCCTAGGTCTAGGTCTAGGCTCCAGTAGTGGTGATTGTACCACTGCACTCCAGCCCGAGTGGCAGAGTGAGACTCTGACTCAAAAAAAAAAAAAAAAAGATTACAGGCCAAACTCAAGTATGAATATTAATAAAAAGTCTAAACAATATTTATGAAGTGAATTCAGCAGCACATTAAAAAGACAACATTTCATGACAAAGTGATTATCATATAATAAATATAAGATTGGTTAAATATTTAAAACCATTAGGCATAATTCAACACAATAACAAAGCAAAAGAGAAAAACTTCTTTTAATAGAGGCAGAAAAAGTTTTAAATAAAATCCAACATCCATTCATGACAAAACTTACAAAATATAAAGAAAAATTAAATTCCTTAACTTGTTGAAAGAAATCTACCAAACCCTGAGCCCCAGAAAGCATTATACTTAAAATGTTGGAAGCATTCCCTTTTAAGATCAGGATTAAGACAAAGATGCCCCACTATAATCACTTTTATTAACATTGTGCTAGATGTTTTAGACAGTAATCTGACAGCATAGTAATATCCTAAAGCGGTAAGATTCAATTTCTTATTTTTTTAATTTTAAAGATGTGGGGTACAATTCAGGGTTTGGTATACAAATGTTCATTATGCAGGTATCCTTGTTGATGAGATGTGCCCCTGCCTCCTTGATTTCTTTTTTTTTTTTGACTTATAAACAGAAATGTATTGATCACAGTTCTAGAGTCTGGGAAGTCCAAGATCAGCAGACTTGGTGTCTGATGAGGCCCCATTCTCTGGTTCACAGATGACACCTTCTCACTGTGTCCTCACATGCTGGAAGGGGCAGGACAGCTCTCTGGGCCTCTTTCTTTCTTTCTTTTTTTTTATTTTTAATTTTAGATATGTGGGGTACAATTTAGGGTTAGGTGCACAAACATTCATTATACAGGTACCCTTATTGATGAGGTGTGCCCCCTCCTCCCTTGGAGATTTAATTTTAAAAATATATAAGGGGCTGGGCTAGATGGCTTGCACCTTTAATCCCAGCACTTTTGGAGGCCGAGGCAAGAAGATTGCCTGAGTCCAGGGATTCAAGACCAGCCTAGGCAACTTGGTGAGACCCCGTCTTTACAATAAATCAAAAAATTAGCCAGGTATGGTAGCATTCGACTATAGTTCCAGCTACTGGGAAGTCTGAGGTGGAAGGATCACCTGAGCCCAGCGGGTCAAGGCTGCGGTGGTCATGAGCATGTTACTGCACTCCAGCCTGAGCAACAGAGTGAAACTCCAACTCAAAAAAAAAGAGGAACTTTTATCTTCAAAATACACTATAAAGAGGATACAAACATAAGATTCAAACTTTGAAAATAAATTTTAATAGCTATATCTGACAAGGGAAGATATAAACCTAGAATATATAAATTGAGACAATGCAATAGAAAGATGGGCAGAAGAGGGAACATAAATGTGACCCCAAATTACATGAAAAGATGACCAATTACATTAGTAATCAGGGCAATGCAAAAATGAAACTACAATAAGATATCATTTCACAGCCATTCATTGGCAAAAATTTTAAAGTTTTGGCTGTCCAAGATCTGGCAACACATGGAACTATCAACACTCTTAGACAGTGCCGGTTGAGTATTAATGGATACAATCACTTTGTCATTACCTAGTAAGGCTGAACATGTTCATATTCCACAACCTCT